TTGCATGAAACACTATTCAGGATATAAAAGCAAGCTGTCTTCATACTGTCCCCTTCTAATTATAATTTTGGGATCCCATATCGCATCTCACAAATAATGCGTCTCTCCTTCGTCCTCGCCGTTGTTGCGGCTTTCAAGTTGACAGTGTTAGCGTTTCCTGTCAGCCTGTACTATGCGACCCCTGCGGCGACGATGATTATTGCATCTGCGATTGTTGTATACAGCCTTGTAGGTAGTATATGAGCCAAGTGAGTATGAGTAGCTTTCATCCTTATAATAACCCCGTGACTCACTAGCCTGGCACCGTGACTGTGTCAGATTACCTTGCTTGCAAAGCAAGGTCATATGGTACTATCCCTTACGCTCTATTCGTGACGGTCCACAATTTCGTGAGTCACACTCAGGTCACGAATAGTAACGGACAGTCACACTGGCCGAATCTACAGTCCGCTCGGCAGACGTTAGAATCTTCGTGATTCGTGATTCGGGATTCGTGAACTTCAACAGTGATTGATTAGGACGCTACTTATAAGTCTGTGAGCTACAGTATGTACCGAAAAATTATATAGAACTAAATGCAATCATTAATGATGTGTAAAATATTGCTGAGGGAATGTATGTGGATGTGGGTATTGATGCATACTAGTAGATGGATTATGAAGTCCGTGACTCGGACTCGGATGCGCGGGTTGAGCAAAAAAATATGGTGGATGTGGTGCAGGGACACATGCCTTCGAGCCTCGGGTCTGTGCCGTCGGGCAAAGGACCTTCTTTCAGAACAAAGTACGGTGACATTGTTGCACCAGCTGCATTTGCACATTCCAAAATCGTCACAAGTTCTAAATTATCGCTATGTTGACGGTAGAAATCACGGTCCTTGGTTGCAAAAATAAATTTTGACCCATCACCATTCCGACCACCTCCCATCTGATTGCCCTTCTCATCCATATTCCAATTATGCGCTGCGGGAATACCATTATATTTCTTATCGAGGTCGATCCGAAGCGTGAAGTATCCATCAACAGTTGTTTTGTTGAAGTTCTGAGCACGTTTCGGGTCAAGATTCCGTGGCTTGTGAGTAGAAATAGACTTCTTGTGACGAGCGAGGTAACGACGATGCCAATGCTTTCCGGGAACCCTTCCACTAATCTCGTTGACCCGGGCACGTAAATCACGAGGGTGCACAGGGCGTGCGGCACCAGATTCATGAGCCAGCCAGTCCTTGACAGCTTCCTCTTCCGATGGCTGGAGGAGTTGCTGTGACTTGGCAAAATCCCTGCGAGACATATGTAGACCCTTGCTCCGGTCGTTAAGAGTCTGCCGTGCGACCTGTACAATAAAATTAGCACTGCAGGAACTCGAAAAATACACAATCATACCTTTTGTGCCCTTGCAGCTACTGTAATATTCTTGTAAGTGCCATTTGTGACACCCATGAGTGCAGCCTGGATCCTGGACTCGTACTCGGGGTCAGTAGACGCCGCCAGCTTGCCTCGGTGACGTCCCATGGCATAGCGATTGAGCCCAGCTCAGCGCTCGCTACTTGCTCACGCGCTCACGGATTGCAGCTGCAATGAAACACGCTGTTAAATTCAATGTCCGACGTCGGCAGCCTCGGCAGGTGACACTGAAATCGTGATTTTGGCTGCTGTCACGCTGAAAACACGATCTCCACCATTTCTCAACAGATTTGTTTCGTTCCACTTGGAATATGCTAGTATATAGTATATAGAATATACTGAGTGAAGTAGCTAAGTAATTACATTGAAGTTGAGTGCTGCAGACAAAAATCACGAAATTGTGGACCGTCACGAATAGAGCGTAAGGGATAGTACTCGGAATACGAGACAACATCATATGCGTTGTTAGTGGTGTTTGAATGAGGACTATCTTATTCTGACACGAATATCACTGCGACGCAACGAGAAAATCCGGGTCCACGCAGGCAAGCAAGGTCAGATTCGGCAACGCCGAACCTAGTGAAAACGTCCCTACAAGAAAATCTGCAAGCGCGGGAACTTATTACCTCATTCGCATTCTATCTAGACCTGACCCTTAATATTTGGCTTGGTTTGGGCTTGGTAAACAAAGCGTTAAGTAGTAATTGGTGACGCTCCGGCCAGACGAGTGGATCAGAAGGCATGAGAGGCCAAGATTCGAGTGGTATATACTACGACTCGCTAATATAATATTACCGCCTCTCCCAGCATGGCATCAGTCGAACCCAACGCACCCCGGCAACTTTAGATGTGCATAATCTAATCTTCTATAATTTGAGATAATTTATTGAAAACACGATAAAGTGAAATTTCTCTGAGAAGGGTTTCCCTGATGTGCACTGAGACCGAGAGAGCACGATCATTAGCCCTGTTGCCTGGGAGGCCGGCCGCCGAAATTTGCTACAGTGCTTTGTAGTACTTTGTAGCACCCTGTAACACTCGGTAGCGCAATACGTCCCGCCGATGAGGGCGTAATGCTTGTGCAAGCCTGAGAGGCTGCATCTGCGGCGGAAGACTTCAACCCCTTCGCCGTAGAAGCTTCAAGTCTGCTCGACAGTGACACCACTGGTCTACTAGTATATACTTCCTAATCAGTAGAGTATTTATCGTGGGCCAGATACAACAACGTTTCGGATTGAAATTACACATTACCAGCATTTCATAGTGTTCTGCTGTCAAGACAATCGTTGTTGTGGACGGAGGAATTCAAATCTGAGGTCTGCTGGCAATGTGGGGGCATTAATACAAATGTCGTCTGTTTAAAACGGTATTTCAGCTTTCGGATGGACAGGTTTTGCATAAAATACTATTCAGGATATAAAATCAAGCTGTCTTCATACCGTCCCCTTGTAAATTATTTTGGGATCCCATATCGCATCTCATTAATAATGCGTCTCTCCTTCGTTCTCGCCGTTGTTGCTGCTTTCAATTTGACAGTGTTAGCGGCTCCTGTCAGCACTGATAGTGACACTATGTGTCTCGTCAGCTGCAGCTACGACTCGGCTAGTTATTGCATATGCGATTGCGGTACACTGTGTTAGTATATGACCGCCAAGTGAGTATGAGTAGTTTTCATCTTTATAACCCCGTGACTCACTGGCCTGGTCACTAGGGCGATATCTATTATCTGTGAGCCGAGCTCGAAGCTATCGTGAGTCGTGACAGTGAAGTGAGTGGTGTTTCTGCTTTGGCATTGGTGTGATATGGTTGACGCCACGACTAGTTCTTGAGTACTGGGCGCTCGGTCGTCACGGTGAACAAACAAGTTCACCTTGTTCGGACATTGAAGATTGTAGATTAGAGGAACATCTCAAACACCAGAAATATGATTGAAGTACTTACAACGCATTGTTTTTTTTATCTCGTTATAAGATTGCAGAATGTGGTTTATAAAGGCCTCGCATAGACCTCACTCAGACATTGATGAGATGATGGCCCGGGACAATGGATGATCAGACAGAATATCGCTTCCGGAATCCGGACGCGGAACACCAATTTGGTCTAGACAATAGGCATCATTTAATTTGGAGTATGTGCATCTTACATAATTGAAACTTCGCACTTTTAGCACTGCGTAACGGGTCAAAGCACTTGCTTCAGATACTAGCGAAGATATTCAGTCGACAGCACCGCGTCATGTGGTAGAACAGTATTACATGGAAGGGGAATACGGAGGTAACATGAAATAGTTTGCAAAAAGATGAACAAGAGAAGCTCGAGTTGTACTAGGGTCCAATGTAGGTGTCTATGAGCAGCAACCCATCGACGCTGAAGTTGCAGGTTGGTTGACTTTCACTGATCCATCTGCGTTGGAAGCACCCCCTACTGAGACAGCTGAGTCTGCTTGTGAGTCGATAAGCCGAGTCTTGCAGTCTCTGTATAGTCAGGAATTGAAATCGATTCCACAAATGTAGCACAATGCGACAAACCTTGCAAGGGTAAAGAAGGCCTCTTCTACACCTTCATTCGCCTTGGCAGACGTCTCCATAAATTTCATGCCAAGTTCATCAGCAAGTGCACGTCCCTGGGCTTCTGGTACGGCTCGCTTGTCTGTCCAATCTGACTTATTCCCGATGAGTATCTTGTTGACACCCTCTGAAGCATGTTGTTCGATGTTAGCATGCCAAGTGCGGATACCTAGAGATGATGTGTATTGGGGTGGGACAATAGTGGTGGAGATGCTAATAGCACATACTATTGTATGATCGTTCATCTGTGACGTCGTACACAAGAAGAATGCCCATTGCTCCACGGTAGTACGCAGTCGTTATAGTTCTGAACCGTTCCTGACCAGCAGTGTCCCACTGTACGATACGAGTCAGCTTTGTAAAGCGAACAGTTCATGACTGTATTGGGATGAGAACACGCACAATTTGAAGCTTAATTCGCTTTCCATCTAGCTCGATTGTGCGGATCTTGAAGTCAATCCCGATTGTGGTGATGAACGATGGCGTCCACGCATCATCACAGAAGCGGAGCAAAAGACAGGATTTCCCAACACCTAAGCGACGACTTGGAAATTGAAATATATTAAAACCACGGTGCAAACGCACCTGAGTCGCCAATCAAGAGCAGCTGCAAAGCAGGTTATGCGGGCAAAGTCTGGAGTGCGTATGCAGCGTGCTTACCTTGATGAGGAAATCATAGTGTGGGGGAGGCATTCTAGAATATCTTTTCTAGGTAATGAGATCCACTTATCCGTCTACATGGTTAAAAAACAAACCAGATGAATTCTTTAGTAGATGGCCAGTGAGCAGGGATTCTTGACGATATATGTAGTGCGTCCAAGTCACTGCGACCTTGCCTGTTGAAGTGCATTCAGTGCCACAGCATGCGGGAGTAGCCGCAGCACCTTTAATTATGTAATATAAGCGAATTTCATCAATCATATGATAGTTGAAAACTTTGAACGTTCCTTTAAATCATATCCATAATTTGCACATGCCAACGATAGTCCAGACGCACCATTCAGACGAGTATAAGGTGACCTGTTAAAGAGAGCTGAGAGCCGATCTATAATTGGTCACACATATACCGTTTACACGTACGTAAGGGGTCACAAGCTGGTCCAAGTTTGTCGCTCATGTAGGTGTCGATTTGGGTGTGCTATTTGCGCCTCAACCTGTTTGGAAATTCGAACAGAGCGCTGGCTCGACAATATAAAGGACAACCTCGTTGCAGACGTGTTGCTTCGAGGCCTTTTGTACCACCTCATTGATACCACTCAAGTCTAAGTTCCCCAGCCTTTCGTACCTCAAGCTCCTTCTGTTCAACAGACTATGTTAGACCCACTGCTCTCCAAAGACCGAATAGTTAACGAGGCAGGCCTCAGAGCCGCCTTGCATCATCTGGACGCAATCTCAAGTTCAGGAGCAACCGCATTACAAGCCACAGTTGAACATATGTTGTCATCACCCCATGTTTTTGCATATATCTTTTCTGGTATTTCAGACTTTCTTCGGGCGTCAATAGCTCTGACTCTCAAATAGTTTGGGATCGCCGCGAGGCAATGATATCACAGATCATAACAGACTTTCCAACGAACTCTCAAGAATATTCAGCATCCATTGCGAAGAAGCTGCTAGACAGTCTTTCTATGTACTTTTTAGCTTTTCCAGTCGAATCTCTAGCGATGGATGTTTCAAGGGACATCAGCCGCCACAGAGGCTTCGTCGAGGGCGCTTTACCCGTACTTTGCGCGTTGAGCACCATGTCATTTGCTGGTGCAGGATCATTTGAAGACGAAATAGATCCCTTCGACATCGAATCTGATGATGGATTCGTCAAGAAGAAAGTTACTCAGAAAATGCGCAAGCGTAATCGCCTGAAAGCTCATACGGCTATCGACGCGTCGCTCTTTGTGAGGCTCGGAGTTGTTGTGCCTCTCACGAGCGAGGCTGCCGCGTCATTGACTAGTTACATTCTCGCGGAGCTGAGAAATGCTCTCTCGGTGAGTATATTCGCTTGCTTTGACACTTTCCCTGACAGCTTTTCGTAAGTTCTACCTCTCGCTTCTGCGGACGACGGAATTGGCAGGCGACATCAAAGCCTTACTCCTCCCAAACGTGGGAGATTCTGCCCAAGATGCGGCGCCTGAGATTTCGTCAACCGAGGATGTCGAGAGCCCGATAATCCGACCCAATGCGTACCCAATGGTACAGCCTATGAAGGCTGCGCTTTACTTCGAGAACGCGGACGGCTTCGGAGAGTGGCGAATCCTCATATCTACGGAAGCCTACAAGAATTTGCGTGAATTCCGTAGAGCAGATGAGAAGATATTCAAGATCATTGTTAAGAAGATCAAGTCTGTCTTCCGATCAATTTCGCTGTAATGATCTTATCGTTGCCACAGACAACTATCGAATGGCCATTTCTCGGATGATAATCACAAGCGACTTAATGGGCCAGATGCAGGCATACCTATCCACGAGGCCAAGATGACAAGGGACCTACGATTAGTAGTACGTGTAATTTCACATACGTCGCTCAGAGCAGGATATGACTGACCTTTTCTTACAGTACCAGATCGATTGTGTCCCTGACCAAGATGGACAGGTAGGCCGCTTTTACACCAATATTGAGCATGATACTGAGACTGAATTCTTGACAGTCCGAAAGACAAGGTGAGCTATTGAGGGCAATTACATGCGTCTACCATTTGTGCTTATATGAACTCCAGTAATCAAGGTATACGGCATTTATACGCATGCTCAGCTCGGCAGAATATGGGATGCCTTGGGTTGCCATCTCGCACGCAAGGGCAGAGAATATCGTAGAAGGTGAGGCCATTTTACAGCTCCTGATGCAGTTCAGTGAATCGTTGCTTGTGCAGGTGTATCTTTCGGAACAGACCAGCCCTGTCTAATGACAGCGTGATTCTTCCTGCATCATTCCCACCAGCTGAACCCGAGTCAGAATGCTCAGGAAGCCCACTCGATCTGAGTGATAAGGACATGGATCGCGTTGAGTATTTTCAGTTGTCATTTGTGCGGTCATTGATCCAGGATATAGCTTCACTCTTTACTTGTGTATGAATCTTGTCATCCTTACGCAAATTCATTTCCGTCTAACAATTTTATAGTTTGGAGAAATATGTCACGTTCTCCCAAGTAAGCTCATAGATGCGCTTTATAGGCATGCGATTGTTGACTTGATAATCTCTTGTTTCAGGCGTTCCTGCGTAGTGAGTGATTATGTAGTTAGCTTACCGCCTCTTCTTACCTTTGCAAAAGGTCTCATCGCAAACCAAGACGTGCAGCACGTCTTCATACTGACGTAAGTTCTATCACAGTGAGACGAATTTTCTGATTGATGTTGGTTCAGACCTCAAGAACAAAAAATTGTGGAGTGCACCACGTCATGTTACGTCTTGGGCCGCAGCGGCACGGGGTAACTGTCCTGTCTTTGATATGAGCTGCTTATTTATCGCACTCAACTAGAAAAACCACGACCATGCTGTTTAAGATTCTCGGTATCCAGCGAGCTTGGGAGATGAGTGCCGTTGAATTACCGAAGCCGCGTCAAATCTTCGTCACCAAATCCAGAGTGCTCGCCACGAAAGTGGAAGAGTATTTCACGAAGCTTCTCGAATCTCTGGCATTAGCGGGCTACACTCTGGAGGAACTTGCAAAAATGAAAGCACAAAGTGTTCAGGAGGGCCTTGTTGATCTCGACGATTTGCCCGAATCACAGATGAATATACCCATGAAATACAGCGAACTTGAGGATAAACACTTTCCTCTTTTTGTGACTTTCGATCGAGTACGTCCCAGTCCGTCATCTGGACAGATCCTAAGCTGATCTTTTATGTAGCTGGCAAAGATGGTCGCGGCAGATATCTTAAGTAAGGATGTCTCCGAAACAAGAGATAGTGCAGGTCTTTTCTTCAATGTTGACGATGCTGAGGCGCATGACTGTTTTGTCACCTATGACGTATTTGCAAATCAATATTGGCCTCATTTTCCGCAGAATCTCACTAAGAGTCTAAGTAGTGTCCTTTTCTCTTGTGATGATAATGAAGTACTGACACTACCCCATCAGACCCGTGGTTGGTTTTCAGCGAATTCATGGGCGAGTGCTAATTTGTATTATCTTGACGCTGGCAGTTCCTGAATATACCTACAGGGATCGTCAAAGGCTCCGAACACGCCCTGACCTGTCCTGAAGGAGTTCTCGATCGCCCAAACTACCTTCGTCTTCCTCATCGTTCTAACCCAAATTTTGCCAATCAGAGGGGAATTTTGTATGACATCTTTGAGCATTATACGAAAATGAAGAGGCAGCGACGTCATCATGATATTGCAGACCGGTACGACTTCTTCCTCCTTGTCACTCACGTAATGTCACAATATGTACCCAAACAGTACGCATGCAATACTCAAGGTCTTGCGGAGCCAGAAGTTCCCTGGCCAGCAGATCGATTATTTGTATGTGTTATCCCTACCAGTATATCTTGCCCCTGACCACGCGCACTAGGTATGTCGACGAAGCGCAAGACAACCTTCTGATCGACGCACTCTGTAAGTAGCTACTCCATCTTTCGTCGACAAAAATCCCTTAAGAACTTTCCGTTATAGTTTTGAGGCAGTTATGCAGGAATCCGGACGGTTTGTTCTGGGCTGGGGACACCGCACAGACAATATCTGCAGGAAGTTCCTTCAGGTTTGATGATCTGAAAGCGTTTCTCTACCGTGTGGAGGTCAGCAGACAGTAAACTTAACTCGAGCCTGAATTGATATATTAGAGCAGCAGCAAAATACCACGGTCAATTCCGCTGGTGCATGTCTTCATCAGCCTATGATGTTTCAATTGGCGATCAACTACAGATCACACGGTGGAATAGTCAACTGCGCGCATTCTGTGATCGAACTTATCACAAAATTTTGGCCCAACACAATCGATAACCTTCGGCCAGAACAGGGGGTGGTTGATGGGCTGAAGCCTGTATTTTTTACTGGTTGGGATAAAGACACTGTTCGTTATGAACAGTTCTTGTTCGGGGCGAGGTAAGTGGGCCTGGACGATTTCTCTCTTTTTCCTACTGAAGATTCTTCCAGTGGTAGTCACATTGAATTCGGAGCGCAGCAATGTAAATTCATTGGTTGGAGATTTCATTCACACACTGACCAGGTATCTAGGCATTCTCGTGCGTGACGAAGCAGCACGTCAAAAGTTGCGAGAACAAGTTGGTGAAATTGGACTGATTATGTGAGTTGTATTAAGACGACCTTTGCGGTGTGACTTCATATTCACATCGATATGCAGGACGCTTTACGAGAGCAAAGGCCTGGAATTCAATGATGTGAGAGAACCAAGTTGACTATCTGATGGATGTCTGACTTCGGTCAGGTACTGTTGTATAACTTTTTCGAGGATTCTGTTGTAGATCTGTCACGATGGCGCATAGTGCTCAATGGGGTAGACGGTGAAGGACATGCACCGAACTTCGATCGTGACGAGGCGCGATATGCTGGGGTTTGTAGCGAGGTAGGCACACCGATCCTCAGAATAAACCACGGCTTACCTTTGTAAGCTCAAACTTCTTTATGTGGGAATCACTCGAGCAAGGAAAAACATGTGGATCGTTGACAAGTCTGATAGATCAGACCCGATGCGTGTGCGTTTAGGGTAGCGTGTTAGCTTAACTCGATCTGACGACTCTTTCCCTTCAGATATTCTGGACTTCTCGCGATCAGGTCCAGAACTGTACCCCGGGCACTGATGTCCCTCATCTAGCCGTCTCCTCGACTCCAGAAGAATGGGCCTCCTTCGGGCGCTCGCTATTCTCGCACAAGCGCTACTCGCAGGCTATCCACTGCTTCGAACGTGCTAACCTTCGTCGTGAGGTGAAGGTTTGTGAAGCATATCAACTGCGAGAAGTCGCACGTTCTAGGGTCGGAGTGGCCTTACTCAGCGACCAAAAAAGAGCTTTTAACGCGGCTGCCGACGCCTTCACTGATTGTGGTGCGACCGCGACAGGAAGTCAGAAGCTTCAATATTATCGTAACTCGGCGGAATGCTATGTTCGAGCAGGAGATGATCTTAAAGCTGCCGAGGCCTATCTCAATGCTCAAGAGTTTGAGCAAGCAGCGAAGAAATATCGCAAGGCTGGACGGTTTGACAAGACCCTGCGTGTCCTTGATGATCATGGCACGATTATCCCTGAAGAAACTACGACGGAGTTATGGACTGTATGCAGATTGTTTTACTGCAGCAGGAACAACACCAAGTAAGTCTTGAGATTAGACTCTCCACAATGTCTTTAATCAATAGCAATTGAGCAGAGCTCCCTTGCCTCTCTTCTCGACATTCGATGAGGAACTCGAATTCCTGGAGGACTATGATCTTGATTTTGCTCGTGCCTCTCTGCTTGAATCTCACTCAAGGTACTATGAGGCCGCAGAACTTCACTTGTCAGAGAATAGGCCCTTGGAAGCTGTTCGGGCATTCATCAAGGACAATGGCAACGCCAATTCTACTGCTCGTGCGGCTGACACTATATTGGAATACTTCTGGCGCAAATGCTCCTTTAGAATCACTGCAAAAACACTTGCTGACGAGTCAATGTCGCATTTCATCGCTCTTGCTGATCAGCTGGACGCGAGCAGACTAGCGCCTGCAACTCGAGACCTAGTACGTATTAACAGTCTCTAAGTGAACAGCTGGACTGATCGACATCCAGATATCAATGTTCCAGATCATCTTGCGCGGAAATCATGAGCCATTAAGAAGTCTTGCGCTCAACTTCCATCAACATAATAACCAGCCAGCGGTTCTCCTTTGCCTGGACCACATATTCTCTCGAACCACAGATATTCGAACTTTTGCGGTTGATGAAATGCAACGGTTCCTTCAGCAATTTCATGCCTATGCGCGAGTGCTGTATCTTATTTCGACCATCCCTGACCCCATGGACTCGGAACATAGGGGTATCCAGAGACTGTTCTCCATCGTGCAGTTGTCTGGTGACGAGTTTCTCATACCAGATGGAACGTTCCTCCACAACTGTGTAACAGAATTCCGTCAAGGCATCGCGGTAAGGGAACATGCGTCTGGGTATGCAGCCTCTCGTAGAAATGCCACCGAGCTACTACAACGATCCATTCGAATGATCTTGAAAGACAAAGTGTCGGAGATCGATGCTATGTGTTGCAAATCTCCTGTTTTCTCGCAATGCTTGCAATTCTTGATATCTGGAGGATGTCGAAGAGAGAACTGTCCCCAGGAGCATGTTGCACTATCGAAATTGGATCGTCGGTATTACAATAGCCGTGTTGCCATCCACATCTGGCAGATTCTCATCTTGCAATTTATGTATTCTGCTCACCCACGCATTGACCGACGCAATAGGTGCGCCTGGAGGTGGCTTATGACTGGGTACTCATACTGATGACTTTATCAGCATGAGGGACTGGCTCAAGCATCTTTACGAAGCCATCAATCCACCCTTCTTCACTCAAGGTTCCCCTGCGGACCTTGACATGAACCTGATGCCTCTTCGTCAAGATGGTATGAAAGTCGTGAAGCTCTGGATCCGCGAATCCTTCTACTCGCTCGACCCATTCTATACCCAGGCTCAATTTTTGACGGTGTTGATGGGGATAACCAGTCTAAGTTTCGCTTTCGACAAGAACGACGCACCTCTCTACATCTCTCGAGCAAAATGTACGGTCTCCGGACCGCGAGAACTTCTTCGCAAGTGGGACGGCCGTTACATGGTTCAGGACTTGCTCAGTTCTTACCAAGGAGCTACCAGCACCAGCATCTCATCTGGAATTATATATATTCTGTAAGTTTTTTTGTCTCTACTTGCAATAAACTAAGTGCAATTCAGGCATGTTCTCAATAATCGTTTATATACCAACCTCTCCGTACTGTGCGATTGTATCGAGGATATCTGCAGCGCTTTTATAATCAAGTACCGAATGGACCCGAGCTTTAATAGGTTTCCCCTTCATAACGTTGTCCTTCCATGCAACTGGCTGCTGCTTCCCCACAAATTCACTGCGGAGAAAGAGACTAATATGTCTTTGATGGGCAAGCTTCTTGACGAGATAGGGAGGCTGGTCGAAGCATTGCGCGTAGAAGCCGGCATGGGTGAGTCTCTCGACTTTTCAGAGCTCCGAGACTATAATTAGGCAGAATTTCTCTGGTTGAACCATACAAAATTTACGCCTATTATCCGCAATGTTTTCATTTCCCGGATGTGAGTCCAGCTTAAGATTTTTTCGACGACGATGCGCATACTAGTACTGATCACGTGTATTACAGCTGCAGGGTTCTCTGCCTTAGTGCGTTTACCGTCTCTTTTCAAAACCTATTGGCTACTGAACTGGGTTCATTAGTTGCTCACCACATCAGGAATCGCTTAATGAAAGCCCAAGTATACAATATCATTCTTGCTCTGCACAAGAATAACCCTCCTTCGAATTGGCGTCCAGCTAACTATCGGAAGCTTGTGGACGACGTGGTCAGGTACATGACACCCTTGCCGGGACGGACGCCACCCTCAGACGCTTTTCTGCGAGCTCTCCTGGCTTTCGACAACAACAAAGGAGTGAGCAACCTGGTGCATCTTGTCCACAAAACGATGATCCAGGATACCCGAGTCTATGTAGTCCGACGGCTCGTATACGAGAAGATCATCGAGATCCCTCATCTCCTTTCATCGTACGCGGTGATCGCACAGTCTACTCTGAGAGTAGAAGCCCCAGCCTTTGTACCTCGCTCGGGACATTCCAAGGATCAACCAGAGGTCATGCAGCACGACGAGAAAGAGATAACAGAATCGGAACCTCAAGAGTTCGAGGGAGAAGAAGAAAAGGAGGAAGACGCCACAGCGAATGCTGACCCCGAGACCCGTGATGAAAAGGAGGAAGACGTTACAGCAAATGCTGATCCCGAGACCCGTGATGCCTTGGAGACTTTGGATGAGGCAGTGTCGTTGCTTGCTCCTGATCTTGATGAGTCACTGCGCTCCAACGGACCATCGGTGGAGGAGGAAAAGGCGGCTTGCAATATTCAGAATGCATACCGCCGTTACGTTAGACGTCGCTCGAGTCGTGCAGTGAATGCCGAAATCGATGCGATATTCATAACATGCTTGAAGGAGACGCAGTCCTCTGAATGGCGTCCGGGTTATTACAGCTTCCTTTTCCTTGGACCATTACCCCACCTTCTGGTATGCCTGGAACGAGGCATTTCTCTGACTCACGCTACCAAAGCGAAGACGAAAGGCCTTTTCAACAAAGAGTCTCATGAAAAGCTTGAGGAGTTGGGCAAGCAGAGAAGCGAGATAGCGTTCGTCCACACTTACTCGGCAATATGCAATGACTAACGCCGTCCTGTTTACAGAGCGCTCCTCAGAATGGGACTGAGATTGCGCAAGCAGCTCGAACCTTCCTCACCCGCCCATCGCGCCCGTGACATTGGCGCGCTCATACACGGAGTCCTAGAGGTCAAGGAATTCATGCAGAGGGTTCCCGGCAACATGCAAGATATGCAATCCGACTTTCAAATGGCCTATAAAGGCATTGTTGCAGAGAAAAAGGTTCACGCACCAAAGGAGAAAGAGAAACCTGTTCTGAATGTCGAGGATATCGACGATTATTGATTTGACTTGGTCGAGACCGCCATTTCGTTTGTGTATCATTGTAGTACTAATTGTACAGTACGTATTTCCGTAATGAGTGTGTGCACGATCGAGAGAACGAACGTTAACGAAAGTGGACAATACACGGGTTATTATCTTAGGCGTTCATACACACAACCCACTCTATGTGGGAACTTCCCTGAGCTAGCACGGTACGGCCCCTTGCGTTGGCCCATACCAAGGTCAGGCTGCACGCCGCTCGCTGATCCAACTGCGATAGTTCGAAGTCCAACTTGAAGCATTAGAACAGTGCGCAAGATACATTTCACTGGTAGGAACCTTGCAACTTGAACAAGTTTTCCGAAATCATTGTCTAAATTCTTGGCACAAGTAGAAACCTTGCGGATCTCGTTGTTGGCCTTCTATCCGATCAGCTCGCCATGCCACACTGGCTCCCAAGTCAACCAGCCCTTCAGATTCAGATGTGCATGTAAACGTTAGTAACTTTGGCTAATCCGTTTCAAGAAAGCAACTGACTAATAAGTAGCAAAGTCCGTGAATTCGGTTTTTTTTAAAGTCCACAGTGAGAGGTCTTGACACCGCTTGCTCTGGGGAATCGCATCCATATACTTCGCAGCAGTGAATATCGAACATGTTGCGTCGGTATCTCTTCTTTCCACTTAAGCTGAAACTATCATTATTCTCAAAATTCAATTTTTGGCAGTCCAAGTCTATTTTGCGAAAATTCTGAAAGGTCTGGGCCATATATGACGTCAACGCCTTTGCAAGCTTTAAGTTACGCCTGAGGAGCTTGCCCTCGCGCCGCGACCTTTGGTGTACCAACCTTTCACGTACTCAAAAGTCCTGTGATGAACCGTTCCAGCTCTACACTGCTCATGTCGGAACTGTTTTCAACCGATCAATTGGCTCACGAAACAGGCCTCACAGCCGCCTTGTCTTACTTAGACGCTTTAGGAGGTCACAGCGGATTACAACCTGCAATTGAGCGTATGCTCTCTTTCCCTCGTGTTTTTGAATACATCGTCTCTGGTATCTCGCAGACTTCATTTCCATGACATTAACTGACTTCCTGAATAGTCTGGGATCGCTCTACAGAAATGGTCTCACAAATCATGGTCGACTTTCCTACAGATGCCAACGAGTACCGATCATCCCTTGCATGCCAGATGCTGGACAACGTGTCCATCTACGCTCTAGCCTTGCCAATCGAGTCTTTGTCGAGGGAAGTTGCAAAGGACATCGGTCGCTACCGGGCCTTCATTGAGGGCACACAGCCCGTGCTTTGGTCATTGAGCGCCATGAAATTTGCTGATGTACAGTTGCTCACGAACGCTCGCGATCCCAAACCTGATGACAGGGTCATCAACACGCAAGCGTCTCGAGTCATGCGCAAGCGTGATTGCCAGAATGATCATGTGACCATCGATGCATCACTCTTCGTCAAACTTGGCATGAATGTGCCTTCCACGAGTGAGGAGGCCATGTCGTTGTCCACCGACATACTCGCAGAACTGAAGAAAATTCTCTCGGTGTGTGTTCTCATGATGTACTTTTCGACGTTCCCTGACAGCCTCCCCAAGTTTTACCTCTCGCTTCTGCGGAGGACGGAATTAGTGGGTGACATCAAAGCCTTGCTCTTCCCAAGTGTGGAAGAGTCTGCTAAAGATGTTGCGCCCCAAGTCTCGTTCCCCGAAGACGCCGAGAGCTCAACAGAACACACTGCGTATCCAATGGTACAGCCCATGAAGGCTGCTCTTTACTTCGACAATGCGAACGCGTTTGGAGAGTGGCAAATCCTCATATCCACTGGAGCATATAAACATCTACGCGAACATCGCCGAGCAGACAAAAAAATATTCGAGATTATCTACAAGAAGATCAAGTCCGTCTTTTGATGACATCAATACCACTGATCTTATAATTACCGCAGACACCTCTCGCGTGGCCAATTTTCGACTGACAATCATAAGAGACTCAATGGACCGGATGCAGGCATTCCTATCTTTGAAGCCAAGATGACTAAAGATTTACGGCTGGTGGTAGACGTCATTTCTTAGAAACTCTGGGAGGGATATAACCTATTTTTTATCACAGTACCAGATTGATTGCGTCCCTGAGCAGGGTGGAGAGGTATGTGATTCTTCCATAAAAGACCGGCACATAATGCTGAGACCGATCCTTGATAGTCTGAGAAACAGGGTGCGCCATCATGCATCACGGATGAACAGCAATCTTTGTCATCACTCACACGGATAACAGTCATCAAAGTATACGGGATCTACAGACACTCTGAGCTCGGCAGAATATGGAATGCCTTGGGAAACCATCTAGCACGCAGGGGTGCAGAATATCGCAGACGGTTGGGCATACCTGTCATCTATTATGCGACCTACTAAGTCACTGCTCTATCAGATGCATATTTCGTACCAAACGAACTGACAATGCTATTCTGCCGGCCTCATTCCCGCCGACAGAACCTGAGCCAGAGATTCTAGCAAGCCCACTGGATCTTAGTGCCAAGGACATGGAGCATGTTGAGTGTTTGCATCTGTCGGTAGCACATCGATTGATCTGTGGTGTAGCTTCACTCTTTGCTTGTGTATGAATGAATATCTTACAATTGGATGACTGAGGATTGACGATTTTCTAGCTTGGAGAAATATATTACATTCTCCCAAGTACGTTTATTTGTATAGTTCTTCGATATAGAATGACTTAATAACGATCCCTCAGACTTTTTTGCATAGTGAGTAACCTTGTACTCGGTCATCCACATCATCTCATTCTTGCAAAAGGTCTCATTGCAAACCATGACGTACACCACGTCTTCATGCTCTCGTATGTCCCAAGGACTGCTTTGAAAATGAGTTTAGTGATTGAGATCGCTTCAGTCCGCAAGAACAAAAGATTGTCGAGTGCACTACATCATGCTATGTTTTGGGTCGCAGTGGCACAGGGTAAGTACATTGTGCTCGACATTGCTCACTTATCTATCTCATGGCCACTAGAAAAACGACGACAATGCTGTTCAAGATCCTTGGGATCCAGCGAGCCTGGGAACTAAGCGCCAATGACATGCCCAAGCCACGTCAAATTTTCGTCACTAAATCTAGAATGCTGGCAACAAAAGTAGAAGAATACTTCACAAGGCTTCGCGAGTCCCTGGCAATGTCAGGCTATACATTGCCCGAAATTGCAAAACTCAAGGCACAAAGCTTCGAGGACGACCTTATTGATCCTGACGATGCTCCCGAGTCGCAGATGAATGTACCGGCGAGATACAGCGAACTTGAGGATAAACATTTTCCCTTATTCGTGACTTTTGATCGAGTATGTCATCATGTATTCCACAGACCGTCTCAAACTTCCTTTTGTGTAGCTGGCAAAGATGATCGCAGGCGATATCTTCAACATGGACGATCCAGAGACGAGGCATAGCGCTGAGCTGTTCTTCGAATCTAATGACATGGAAGCGTATGACTCGTTCGTTACCTATGATGTATTCGAAAAGCAATATTGGCCGCATTTTCCGCAGGGACTCACCAAGAACCTGAGTAATACTGCTTCCTTCCTGTCAGATGGTCACTCACGTGTCCTACCCAGATTCATGGTTGATTTTCAGCGAGTTTATGGGCAAGTCAAATCCATCTCCAATCGAGTAGTTACTGAACCGCCTCACAGGTATCATCAAAGGCTCCGAACAGGCGTTGGGCTTTCCGGATGGATTCCTTGACCGTCCAAGTTACCTCTGTCTTCCCTGTCGCTCCAATCCGGTCTTTGCCAACCAGAGAAACAGAGTTTATGATATATTCGAGAGCTACAGGAAATTCAAGAAGCAGAAACGCCACTTTGATGTAGCGGATCGGTACGGGCCGTTTTGCTCCTCGTTGGAACCCAGAATTGATTCCATATAGCACGCATTCGATACTCAAGGCCTTGCAAAACAAAAATTTTCCTGGTCAACAGGTTGAATATATGTATGTATATCTCTCGTCGGGCTAATTCTAGATCCTGATTGACTACACAAGGTATGTCGACGAGGCGCAAGACAATCTTCTAATCGATGCGTTGGGTAGGTCATCTTTCCTTCAATACAAGAGTGTGAAAAAACTTTTTGCTCTAGTTTTGAGGCGACTGTGTAGGAATTCAGATGGTCTTTTCTGGGCTGGGGATACTGCGCAGACGATCTCTGCCGGAAGTTCCTTCAGATTCAATGACCTGAAAGCATTTGTCTATCGTATGGAGGTTAGCAAACAGTGCTTGTTTCCCAGTGTGTGATTTGATATCTTCCTACAGCGCTACAGTAGCTCGGTCACCCCCACTGGAGCTCCTGCGCATCAACCAACGATGTTTCAATTGGGTACCAACTACAGATCACACAATGGCATTGTGAACTGTGCTCATTCTGTCATCGAGCTCATCACGAAGTTCTGGCCAAATACAATTGATCACCTCCAACCTGAAAAGGGGGTGGTTGATGGAGTGAAGCCAGTATTTTTCACGCACTTGGATAATGACACTCACCTTAAACAATTTTTGGTCGGGGAGAGGTAAGTAGACTGCCTCAATGTTCATCGTTCTTCTGTTGAGATATTTGCAGTGCGAATAAATTAGAGCTTGGAGCCCGCCAATGTAAGCAGTTTCTGCTTAAAGTTCCGTTATGTTATGAAAAGTTATTCTATAGGCATACTTGTGCGTAATGAAGCAGCAGTCAAGACCGTGCAAGACAAAGTAGGAAATATTGGAATGATAATGTGAGTCATCTCACAAACATCTGTGCTCCATGGTTTTTATGTTCGCGCACCTGCTCAGGACGCTCTATGACAGCAAAGGCCTCGAGTTTGACGATGTGAGAAAACTGACCTTAACTATCTGACGGATGACTTATTTCGGCCAGGTTCTACTGTACAATTTTTTCGGAGATTCCGCCGTAGATGCCTCACGCTGGCGGGTAGTTCTCAACGGGGTGCAGGGCCAAGGTTATGCGCCAGATTTTTATCGTGATGAGATACGGTACGCTGCAATATGCAGTGAGGCAAGTACACCGCTCATCAATCAAGGAAAGCATATCACTTACTTTTATTAGTTGAAACTCCTCTACGTGGGGATTACCCGTGCAAGGAAGAACGTATGGATCTTTGATACATCCGATAAGTCTGATGCTATGCGTGTGCGTTTAGACCACCTGCATCTTGTGTGCTACTTGGTTTAATGATTATCTATTTCCAGATTTTGTGGGAGTCTCAAAATCTGATCCACACCTGTGCCCACAGCACGGATGTTTCTCCTCTAGCTGTATCATCCACTCCGGAAGAATGGGCATCCTCCGGGCGCTCACTATTCTTGCACAAGCACTACTCGCAGGCTATTCATTGCTTCGAGCGCGCTGGCCTGCATCGCGAAGTGAAGGTTTGCGAAGCTTATCTACTACGAGAGGCAGCACGTTCCAGTGTCGGAGTGGCCTTGCTTAGCGTTCAACAAAGGGCTTTTAATGCGGCAGCAGAAGCCTTTTCTGACTGTGCCGCAGCTGCTACTGGCAACGAGAAACGTCAATATCACCGCACCTCGGCAGATTGCCATGTCAGAGGGGGACAAGACCTCAAAGCTGCTGATAAGTATCTCGAGGCTGAAGAGTTCGAGTTAGCTGCGAAGAGATATCGCAAGGCTGGATCTTTTGACAGGGTGCTCCATGTCCTTACGGACCACCGCGCTGTGATACCTGAAAAGACCGCGACAGATTTGTGGATGGTATGTCGGCTTCATTACTGCAGCAGAAGCAATGATCAGTAAGTGACCGTAATTTAGTATGATTTGGTTTAATGGTAATCGTGTAGCGCCCCTGTGCCACTATTCTCTTCGTTTGATGAGGAACTCGAGTTTTTGGAGGAATACGACTTGGATGGTTCCCGTGCTGCCCTTTTGGAGTCTCAGTCGATGTACTACGAGGTCGCCGAGATACACTTATCAGAGAATCGCCCCATAGAAGCAGTTCAAGCGTTTCTCAAGGATGACAGAAAGATCGATTCAGCTGCTCGTGCAGCTGACACTCTTCTGGAATTTATGTGGCGCAAATGTTCATTCAGGATCAAGCCAAAAGCCGCCGTTCTTGACCACTCGGTGCGGCGCGCTATCACCCTCGCTGATCAGCTGCAAATGAAGAAACTGGAGTCAACGACTCATAATTTGGTATATATCACACATCGCTGAAACGGACCAACCGAACTGATCTGTGTGCAGATCTTGATGTTTCAGGGCATCTTGCGAGAAGATCATGAGTCGTTAAAGAAACTTGCCCTTATCTTCCAGGAACATGATCATCACACTGCCGCTCTCCTTTGCCTGGATCACATTTTCACTCGACTGACAGACATTCGTCCTTTCCAACACCATGAAATGGCAATCTTTCTTGAAACATTTCATACCTATGCGCGACTACTGTATCAAAATTTGACCATGCCTGACCCCTTAGGACGCCACGAATGCGATGTACAAAGACTATTTTCAATTGTGCCACTGCCGGGCGACGAGTTTCTAATACCGAGTGGGACGTTCCTGTACGACAATGTGAAGGGAACTCCTCGGAACCGCCGTCTGGTCTCGATACATCCATCCGGATATAAGTCCTCTCGTAAAAATGCAACAGAACTGATCCATCTGTCCATTCGAGCTGTCTTGGAGGACAAGGTTTTGGAACTCGATAAAATGTGTTGCGACGCTCCAGTCTTTTTGCAGTGCTTGCCATTTATTGTCTCTGGGACGTGCCAAAGAGAGCAATGCCCCCAGAACCATGTTGCGATATCGAATATGGACCGCACGCAGTACAACACCCACGTCGCGATCCATATGCAATTGATTCTCATCTTACAACTCTTGTACTCCGCGCATCCTAGTTCGAAACAATGGGAAAGGTGCGCCAAGTGTATTGTTTGCGGCCGAAGTCTATGCTGATACTGTTATTAGCATGAGGGATTGGCTCGAACACCTTTACGAAGCGCTGGCTCCACCCTTGTTCATTCAAGGTTCATTTGCGGACCTCAATTTGACCCTCATTCCACATGGTTTAGCTGGCCTGAGAGTGCTCTGGATTCGCGAATCTTTCTATAGTTTGAACCCGTTCAAGAGCTCTCAATCTCTGACGACCTTGATGAAAATCACTAGTTTGAGTTTCGCTTTTGATCGGAATGATGCTCCCGCCTACATTGCTGAGGCACAGTGTGTCAACAGAAAGACATTTACCGAGCTCCTCCGACGGCCAGATAACCGCTACCTGGTGATGGACATGCTCAATTCTTATCGAGGAGCTATTCCCAGCAGTATATCATCGGGAATTTTGTTTCTACTGTGAGTTTACATCTCGTATTCATATGCACATGCTAAAAATTTTGCAGGCATGTCCTCAACAACCGTTTACGCGTCAATCTATCTGTTCTATGTGACTGCATTGAGGATATCCTCTCCTCTTTCATTATAAATCACAGAATGGATCCAACGCTAGACAAACTTCCACTGCACGGTGCCGTTCTTCCATCAAACTGGTTGGTCTTCCCCCACAAGTTTTTTGTGAAAAAAGACGTCGAACCGGAGTCAATGAGGTTGCTCTTGGATGCGATAGGGGATCTAATATGGAGTTTGCGCATGGATAGTGCCATGGGTAGAACTTTTGCACACTCCGCAGACCATGTTTAACACTCATGAATCGGCAGGTTCTTTGTGGCTTGCACATATTACCAGTATCACACCGTTACTTCGCGATATTTTCATCTTCCGGCTGTAAGTCTAGTCAACACCCTGTATACAATGATCTATTCATCCCTACTCATCCACAGTTGCAGAAATCTTTGCCTTGGTGCGTCTACTTCAACTCGTCGTCAACTAACAACTTTTAATCTGTTGTAACAGTTGCTCACAACACACGATACCCCATGGTCAAGCGCAAAGTGAATTCGATTATGCTTCGTCTGTACACAAGCAATAAACCTCAGTGCACTGCATACTATCGAAAACTCGTGGAGGACGTTGTTGAGCACATGGCGCTTTTGCCCGGCAGAGAAATGCCTCGCTTGGATGGCCACCTGCGAGCTGTTCTGGATTTCGATACCAACATTGCTGCGAGCGATCTTGTCCAACTTGTTCACAAGACGAGGCAATCTACTCAAATCTCGTCGGTGCGACAACTGTTTTACGAAAAGGCTAGTGACATTCCCTATCTTCTTTCTTCGCATATGGTCGCTGCACAGTCTACGCCGAGGCCGGAGGCAGCTACCTTTGTGCCTCGCATGCAGCGTCCCAAAGATGATGTAAAGGTTCGTCAGGCCGAGAAGGAGAACTTGAAGCTGATGCCTCAGGAGGCCCACGGAGAGGAAGTAGAAAAGAAAGAAGTTCCAGTCGCCGTTGATTCCGAGGTTACTGATGACATGGAAGATATTGACGAGGCTGACACATCCCTCACATTACTTGAGCCTGTGCAAGATGAGTCCCTTCGTTCCAACGGGCCATCCGAAGAGCAGGACCGGGCAGCTCACACGATTCAGTGTGCATATCGTTATTACATCTGGCGTCGTTCAGGTTCTGCGGTAGATGCAGAAATCAATGCGATATTCACGACATGCCTCAAGGAGACGAGGTCCTCTGAATGGCGTCCAAGCTATTACCGTCTTCTTTTCCTTGGACCATTGCCCCACCTTCTGGCGTGCCTGGAAAGGGGCATAACTCTGACTCACGCTGTCAAAGAGAAGACGAAAGACCTTCTCAATATGGTGTCTCATGAAGAGCTCGAGAAATTGGGCAAGCAGAGAAGCGAGATCACGTCAGTCAAAATTTACCCAGCGTCATGCAATGATTGACGTGCAGTCTTGTTTACAGATCGCTCCTCAAAAAGGGCTTGCAACTGCGCAAAAAGCTAGAGCCTTCCTCACCAGATCATCGTACCCGAGATATCGACGCCCTCAAACGCGCGGTTTTGGAGGTTGGAGAATTCATTCAAAAAGTTCCCGGCAGCACAAAGGATATGCAAGCCAAGTTCCAGATGGCTTATAAGGGAATCGTTGCAGAGAAGAAACTATTTCGCGTGCGAAAAGAGAGACCTGCTCTTAACGTCGAGGGCCTGGAAGATTCAATTGTCTGGAGACCATAATTTGTGTACCAATACATACTTAGTCCTAGTCTCTCGTAGTAGTGGTTCTTTCGTCATCATGTCTAACTTGTGTGTATGAACAATGCACAACCATTGCAACAAATTTATTGGCATGACGCCCATCATGTCTTGTCCGACCAACAAGAAGCAACATGAGACACAGGGTGTTGTGGACCTGCCTGGGGGACGACCCATCATCACAGGTTCATGAGATGGGTCACTTAGACTTGCGACTTGGAGAGCAGTACAAACTGCCCATTGAGAAGTATTGTCTACGGTGACTCACATTTTTTATCCGAGCAAGTTATCCACAGATTCGGTAGTCATCCCGCAGCGAGCAAAAATATAGTGTGCGAAGACCAAATGGCACCCATCCTCTCCACGGGTGAGCATCACCCAAAGATCTTGTTGTACTTCTAGTGATGCCGGAGTCCGGTTCGGAACTTCGGTTCGAACGCGAACCCTTCCGAACCGGACTGTCCGTTCGGTCCGAGGTTCAGCCTACGGTAAGAACCGAACCTATTATTAGGTTCAGCGTTCGGCTGGTGCCTCAGATTTGTGAACCCGTCTGGACCCGTTCGAACGCGTTCGAACGGTTCTTTCCTTCTGTCTATGATCCGCTTGAGGTCCTCAGCTTATTGCTATCCATCTATCCTAATATTTTTTCTGATCACCTGGCAACAAACTCATATGGCCATTGGCAGTTCTGGGAGCATTGATCTCCAGAACGGCTCTTACTTCACAACCAAAAGACTGAATGCATTTCTGTTAGTGACGTCTGACTTCCTCTGTGATCTATTCAATGTTTTGGTAAGCCCTATGTTAATCGTTATTAGGATTATAATTTAATCTATGTTCAGAACATATCTTTGGGATGCTCGTTCAGGTACTTGCTTTTGCTTCAACATCAATCAACTGTTGCAGTCATTGCATGGCAACAATATGTTCAAGGTGCGTCGCATTTTTCTAATCTCTAACCACAAATTTTGGTATAAATGAGCTACTACAGGTACAATATTCACCCTTCTGGCTGCGAGAATGTCTTGCGCACTTGGATCCAATGGCCAACTCAAAGACGCTAGCGCCATCGATTGGTACAATGATCCCGACGATGACACCCCCATGCTTGCTCCACCTCCGCCTCCTGCATCCAATGGCAAGCTAACTGCCTTCGTGTCTCGCTCAGGCCGAGCCGTTAAACCGACAGAAAAAATCTGCAATGCTGGCAACACAGCTCCAGCCAAAGCTGCCAAACGAGTGGCTCCAGTGCCTCCCCAAGGACAGCCCACACCCAAGCGAGTGCAACATGGGTCCCACGATGACGATGATGACGAACCCCCTGCACTAGAAGATTGCTCAGATGATGAAGAAGAGGCCGAAGAAGCTTATGAGTGGACCAAGGTATTTGGAGACAAGGATCGTGAGGATCGCAAGCATAAGAAGAAAGAGGAGTGCAGTGGGGATTTGAAGGTAGTATTTACTCAGGAGAAGGGACACATCAATCCGCACACCCAAGAACCCGAAGACGGCTGGTGGTGCAAGATCTGCAGGTACATTTTTACTTTTACTTTGAATGTCACATGCATAACTAATGTCAATTTAAGAGCCAATGATGTACCCACCAATCACTGCTTTTTCAAAGGCAGTGTTTCGACTTGCCGCACCCATATCGCTCGAAACGCGAAGTGTCACTTTCCAATATACCGCAACCGCTGCAACGAACGAGGTATCAAGATGCATGATCGGGCGATACCTCCTAACTGCAAAGCAACTGACGAAGCGCAGCAAACATTAGATGCCTCCCTTACGGCTAAAATTCCTGAATTCACCAAGACCGGTCTAATGGATTACATTGTCGAGCTTATCGTGTCTGAGGACGAGGTGAGTGTTTTTTTTTTTTGTAATTGTGGGGCAAGTCATATGGAGTGTTCAAGCTTTCAGCCGAAGAATGGAAGAAGTTGGAACTGATGCATGACGTGCTTCAGGTATGTGCGAGTGTCCAGTCGAGTCTCAAATGTTGTATTAACCTACTGTATAACCAGGAACCTGCCAATGCTCAACAATCGTTTTCAGCGACTCGCGAACCTACCGTATGGCGCACGATTCCAGTCCTCGAGTATCTCCAACAAACTTGGCAAAACATGGCTGGTTCATCAAAGTTTGACGACTTTTCATCTGCGATCAACTCTGGCCTCGACAATATTCGCAAATGGTACCACAAAATCGACGAAACTGATGTTTATTTCGTTTGCCTCGGTATGTATTTTATTTATTATGATGCCCTATCTAATGTACAATGTAGCGCTCGATCCTAACTATAAGGTGGCATACGTGAAGGGTAAATGGGAGCCTTGTGACTTTGACGAGGGCATGAGAAGCTTGCGGAAGGTTTTCGACAAATATTATCATTGCAATGTCTCGCCCGCCACTGCAGAGCCAGCTGCTGTGGCTCCTTCCTTGCTTGCTCGCCAGGGGTCATACGGCCATAGCTGGATGCGTGATGCTGTCAAAACTCGTGTCGCAAATGACACCGCAAATCGAAGACCTCACCAGGAGCTCGACGAGTACCTTGCTGCCCCATTAGAAGATGTTGAGAATATAGTGGCGTGGTGGGGCGTGAGTTTTTTCGCATCGTGTTTCCTTGCAAGTTGACTTAAAATGCCTTTAGCACCATTCCATTCAATATCCCACCATCTCTCGCATTGCAAAGGATTACCTCGCTATTCAAGGCTCTGCCGTCGCATCTGAACGAGCGTTTTCGAGTGGCGGCATCACTGGGACCACGCGCCGTAATCGGTTGTTGCCAACAACATTTCAGGCCCTACAGCTGTTGAAAAGTGGGTACCGTCAAGGCCATATTTCCGCAACGGTTCAAGCTGAGTTTGCTGCTGCTCACGAACACTCTGCCATGGACGAAATTTAGCTACTCATTTACTGTTCATGTATTTCTTGCAATTTTTGTCAATTTATATGTAGCGTTCGAGCGTTCGAACGCGTTCTGAACTCGAACCGAACGCTTGTGAACGCGTTCATCAGCGTCCGGTTCAGCGTTCGTCCTCCTTGCCTGAACGCGACCGATGGTCCAGTTCGGCGTTCGCATTTAGAGGCCTAAGAACCGAACCGAACCGGACTTCGGCACCACTATGTACTTCGAAGGACAGGGCTGGGCGATGTTCTTTGTTATTGAAGTAAGAGTGATTACTTTGCTCTTTTACAGCGACGGGAAACTTCACTAAAATGGTTTTACTAACAAATTTATTGAAATTCCTCAGCCTCATGCATTAGCCGATACAGATGAATTCCTGTTAATCCTCAGCCTCATGCCTTAGCCTAAATTCGATACCGATGGAAATTGTTCGGGGCTTTTTCTGATTTGCCGGACAATTTCAAGGCATTATCCTCAATTACATCTCGTCTGCCTGCCGATAGTACCTCCGCCCCAGACGCTACAGCAAGTCGGACAGGTGCAATCCTGCAGGACCACCAAGGTGTGGTCTAACAAACAGTAAGACAAATATGCATTGCCCTTGTTATAACTCGCGAGGTTTCCGCAAGCGTAGTGTTCTGCAAGCACCCGTACTTAGTAGGCACTGGCAGTCTGAGGTCAAAACATGTATGAAGGTACTCACCAGGCTTGTCGCATGGATCGCCGTTGGGGGGTGTTTGTGCCATATCTGTGCCAAGTACTACTGGCACTACGGCAGACAGAATCATAATGATGAGTGAGATGAACTTCATTGTTGTACTTCGAAGGACTGGGCTGGATGATGTCCTTCTAACAGTGATTACTTCTCTTTTTATATGTACGCAGATAGTTAGAAACTTCTTCAAATGTTTTACCGACGAATTTAATGTCCTGTTAATCCTTAGCCTAAATTCGATACCCAACTCGCGATCGGAGAGGATCATGTTATTCTACTACGTATGAAATTGCCCGGGGAAAAGCCCCGGGACTCATAAGGTCCATCAGACTCATTGTGGATGTCATTGGGCTGCACGACGGTTCGACGACGCTTAGCGTCCCAGTGATTATAGCATCTGGGACACTAATATTAATATGAATTTCGTTTTCATGTCATTAACACTTCCCCTGTTTCCTTACTGCCATGTGTCTCCATACAACGGCGCGGATTTTGGAGAGGATCTAGGAGAAACATGGAATTTGAATTAACATATACATACATGTACATGGAACTACAGTACTGGCGCACCATCAGCGGGAGAGACTGCAGTCGCGGTATGCACTTACTTATTGAATACTACAGGAAGTTCCAGCTGGCGATGCATGATGTGGCATGCTCTCACGTTCCTGCGCTGTCCGGTTTTCACTGGGCCTGAGGCCTGAATAATTCAAACTTCTCTATGAAACCGTTTTAGTGAAGTTTCCCGCTGTCTGTGTATAAAAGCGCGAAGTAATCACTGTTATTTCAATAACAAAGAACATCATCCAGCCCTCTCCTTCGAAGTACAACAATGAAGTTCATCTCACTCACCATTATGATTACATCTGCCAGTAATGCCAGTACTTGGCGCAGTTGTAGCAGGAGTACACCCCTTTGGTATGCGATGCGACAAGCCTGGTGAATACCTTTAGCATACGTGTTTTGACCTCAGACCACGTACTAAGTACGGGTGTTTTCAGGACAGTACGTGTGCAGTTACCTCAATGATTATAACGGCGGCAATCCGTTTCTGGGTTGGTGCGCGGAAGACTCCACTATCGAGGGTTACGTTGATGATTGCACCTGTGCGATTTGCTGTGACGTCGAGAACGGAGGTATTCCTGAGAAAGGCGGGTCAACTAAATGCGTTTAAGGAGTCCGCTTCTTGCTTGCTGTCACGTAGAGGTTACATTTGGGCACCTGTCACTTGTCACACACGATTCACATCTCAAATTTTCGTCATAGCGGAAGCCAAATTGGTTTCATTTACACGCACAAACACTTACAGCGCGTTTTTGCTTAAGGCGCAATGTAATGCAATTTTCACCATTACAACTGTGTCGAAATTTGACACCCTGTCATATGTCACATGGTCCGGTGTCGGTTTGGGTTTTGATGTCACTGTCACACAAGGATGAAATGGTACAGTATGAGTATTGGCCATCGCCACTGAAAACATGACAGAAATTAACCAAGTGTACCTAGAACTCCCTATTGGCATTTGCCAATAGTAAGACCATTATTCACGACGGTACAGCAAATCGCACAGGTGCATTCCGCCAAGAGCTCCACAGTGTTGTCTTGCGCGCAGTAATACATATACGGATTGTTGTTGTTATATCCCTCGAGGTATGCGCAACCGTACAGTTCTGCAAGCACCCATACTTAGTACACGGCCTGAGGTCAAAACATGTATGCGAAGGTATTCACCAGTGTTGGTGCACGGCGTGCCGCTGGGGTCTAATTGTGCTATAGCTGTGCCGCACAGTACTGGCATTACGGCAGACATAATGATTATGTCTGTGAACTTCATTGTTGTACTTCGAAGGACAGGGCTGGATGATGATATTCTTTGTTATTGAAGCAACAGTGATTACTTTGCTCTTTTATACACAGACAGCAGGAAACTTCACTAAAATGGTTTTACAGATAAATTCAAATCCCTCAGGCCTCAGGCCCAGTGAAACTTTGGACAGCGCAGGAACGTGTGAGAGCGTGCCACATGGTGCATCGCCAGCTGAAACCGCTCGTAGTATTCAATAAGTGCATATTGGCCTGGCTGTCCGGCTAAAGGCAAAGGTTCTAGGTCAGGATGCTGCTATTGAAATTAAGTGTTTATGACCAAGGCTTCGGGAGGGGGACTAGGGCCGCTTAGATACTCTAAATTAATTGCCACGTTGCGTGCGCTCGAGCATCCGCTGGCTAAGCCAACTTCCTCATATTGGCGTTAATTAATTGTATCCTGAACAACACCGATTCGATGCGTGTCCGAAATCTGAATCTGTGACATGACCCGATGCATGTGACGCGGGCTCGAGGATACATATGATGATATTGTGTACCAATACAAATACTCCAAAAAACGATGGTGTCAAAAATGAACGAAAGAACACGAAAAAAGACAAAGGATGGCGTAGTAAAAGAATATCTACTCATCATCACTCGGCGTCAGGTATTCATCATCGCTGATCACCTGTTTGCGACCAGCACTCCGAGCCCTGCCCCGCTGCGGCCGTTCATCCTCGTCCATAGGCGTAAGCGCGGAGTCATATGCTGCAGAGCTTGAGGGTCCACCTAGTAGAGCTGGTGAGGCTCCAGGTAGCCCCGTCCCAGCAGTCACTCTCTCCAAAGTGCTATGGAAAACTTTTTCCATCTCTTCAGCGTCTATGTATACCCATGAACCCTCCTGGTTATACGTCCGTGCGTTGTCAAACATCAGCTTCCAGTCCTCTTTGTAGTGCGTGATGCTCTTATAGTATCCAGTGTTACCCCGCTTTCGAAGTGTGGACAAGGCAATCGGATGTGTGATTAATTGATAATAATCGGGATAATCCTGATCGTATCGTCAGTATATCAGTATAGAATGAAACCAGACTTCGTTACTCACTCTCCTGTCAGGGAGCTCCCGGAAAAGTTCGCAACGTTTCCGCCCATCTTTGTCATCACAAGCGAGAACTGCTCTAAGAACCTCATTGAAAGCTTTCTTCATCTCATTTCTTATTGCAGGCGATAGGTCGCCCGCCTTCGTTTTGCGTCGTTTCTATATGCCCGCGCCACCATCAGTTTTTTTCTTGAAAAAGCACTCAGAATCAGCTCACTATGTCACGTTCTTCCTCCTCATCATCGATTACCGAAGGTGTCACGGACATGGACTTCATCCCACGTTTCCGTTTGCCAGCCGCACCAGGTGTATCATAGTCATTGGCAGTCATTTTGCCCTTGCCCTTCTTCACCTTGCGCCCGACACCCACGTCTGACGCTGGAGTATTACGACCAGGCGTGTCGGTGTCTTTGAGAAGCTTGTTGGCAGCTCGTCGTTCTTTCTTGCCACGGGCACGGTCAACGAGTTCCTGCAAATCCTCGCCGTCCTCCACAGCCTAAAATTTCAATCAGCACTCGTACATCATAACATCCTACAAGACGTACCATTGCCCACTGTTCATCGCTGAGACCATCATTATAATTGACGACGTTACGACGGCGCTGACCGCGGCCCTCAATAGCATCATCAATCTCCTTTGGCTCAAACGGTTCATCCGTCTGATAGCAATCAGGTAGCTCTTCAAGTTGCATGAGCGGCAACGGCGGCTTCCCCCTGTTGCCGACTGCACGCCATGCGTCCAACGCATCCCGTTCTCGCTGGAGATCCATCTTGCGGAAAATCTCAACCTCCTCGTCATTTCTCGCCAACATCTCGTTAAGTTCATCGTCGTTCATGTCACCAGCTTCTTCGTTCTCCTCCTCTTGGTCTGCTTCGAGGATGGACCGCTGCATACCACACATTTAGTTATCCGTTATGTGTATGAAAGTTTCTGCGACACCCACCAGGAATTCTTCCTGCTCTTCCTGCGTCGACTTGTTGTCGAAGCGACCGGCTTGGATAACCTTGTCGTCGATATCGAGCTTGTACCGCGCACGAGCATACATGGCTTCTTCGACACTCTTCTCCGTGATGAAACGGAGGATCCGGACAGCCTTGGTTTGACCGATACGGTGAGCACGATCTTGAGCCTGAAGATCAGCATGGGGATTCCTAAGGCATTATCATCAGCAAGTCTGTCTAGACAATGGCCAGAAGCTTGTTCACCAGTCACTATCGAAGCTACAAACCTGCACGTCAGCATAGAGAACGATGCAACCACAAGAGATAACGCACATGATAACCGTATCTGCAGTCTGCAAATTGAGACCCAAACCACCAGCTCGTGTCGACAAGATGAAAACTTTGATCTCCGAATCCTTCGCATTGAACTGCTGTACATGCAAGGCACGCTCCTCTGTTTTCGTACCACCGTCGAGACGGAGATACTTCCAGCCCATCATCTTCAAGAAATCTTCCATGATATCCATGACCTTCGTCATTTGGAAGAAAATAAGAACCTAATAGACACAGTAATCAGTGTAGCTCAGGCGATTATAGGGTGCAACGTACCCTGTGACCCGTTGCAAAGAACTTGGGAAGGATACGCGACAAGAGCTCAAGCTTGCCAGCCGACCTGACCAATTTATCATCGATGAGCCCGGTGGGATTGACCTTGTCCTCGACGCTCTCGAACAAAAACGGATGTTGACAGATCTTGCGCAACTGCATGAGTTCGTTGCTCAGACCCTTCACACCTCCAGATTTGCTAGAGAACAAAAAATCAGCAATACGTCCCACCCGCTCCACCGAAAACAAAAACAACGTACCCCTTCGCATCCTTTCCATTGGCGATCATCTTGTGCTTCTTCATCTGCCTATACAGCTGACTCTGCAAGGCGCTCATGCGAACTTTGATCACCTTCTCCACCTTATCTGGAAGTTCACTCTCCACGTCTTTCTTCAGCCTTCTCAACAAAAACGGCCGCAACACCTTATGCAACCGCCGGATGATGAGCAGAGCCTCTTCTTCGTTCAACTCGATCTTGTCCCCTGTGCCCGAGTTTGCGAACGGCGTGTTGAACCATTCGTCAAATGACTTCACAGAGTTGAAAATCTTGGGAAGAACAAAGTTAAGGAGGGCCCAAAGTTCGGGAAGGTTGTTCTGAAGGGGGGTACCAGTGAGAATAAGGCGATAACGGGAATGGTAGTATTGCGTGAG